ATGTTTCTGTTTCTGATTTGCAGAATGTTTTACCCAAGTTTATGTTTACTGTATCCTCGAAAATCTTAAGATTAACGGGCAACTTTTGTTTCTTGTATATAATACTATAAAAGCTTGAATAATGAGTCTAACTTGTAATCGGTCAAAAATAACAGTAAACTCTGATAGAGGGCTTATCAATATACTATTCAACTAACCCAAATCTGAAGGGTGAGATGATGAATTAGCAGAAAATTATATTTTGTTTTTTCTAATCTGTTTTTTGGAAAACGCTATTATTATGCTCGTTATTATGTTGTTTTGTATGATAATAAGACACCAGTTCGGTCAGTTTTTTAAAATAAAATTTATATTTACACAGCTTCCAGAACTTTTTACACCATTATTTACACTATGTCATATATAATAGCGACTCCGACCTTTTAGAAAAATACAATTCGTTTCAATAAAAGTAATTTGAGGCAAATTAGAATGTTAACGTAAGTTTTTACTTAATTTTATCGATCTGACATCGAATGATGTAATCAGAGAGACAAAAGTTTTGCGAATTAATCTAAAAATTCGTATCTTTAATTAAATATATTTAAATTTAATGTAATATATACTGTAGTTATATCGTGTTTAATATAATGAAATATGGTATAAGTTATTAAATATTTTATTACTTTTCTAAATTTACTTAGTATTAAATGAAATATTTTACATTGTTTAGGTTCAAATTAAACCTAGTTTCTTCATAAAATAAATGATATGGTATAGGAGAATAATTAGAATTCTTACTGCTAGAGAACGAAACAGCGTAGACTTTATTAGCTTTTACATGCATCGTGAAAATTTGAAATAATTTAAATTAAATATTTGATACTGAAAATTACGTAAAAATCTCAGTGTGGTATGCTTTTTAAAATTATATAACGAAATTTTTAAGAATAGTAACTAGTTGTTTGACGTTACGATAACAATGAAATTAGTTATTTTTACGTAAAAATTTATATTTTTGTGATTAATTTCACTAAAATTCCATCCTATCCGCCATCACATTTGTTTTTGCAATCCATCCCAATATTTTATGCTTTGTCATTTATTATAATGAGGTTATCAATATTCTTTCGCTATTAGATATACAGTATANTAGCATTGTAATGAATATCCTAAATTAATTAATTAATTTTAAAAAGTTTCTTTAACAGTAATCATTTAAAAAAATGGATCGATTCTAATAATTTAACTGGTTACTATGATTAATTACTATTAATTCGATTCTAAATCATTCAAATAAAAGATTCAATAAGAAATCTTATTCCAGTTATAAAATACAGAAAATTCAATTAAAATGCAATCCAGCGTGTCATATTAAATGCTTGAAATTCGATAAGAGGTTGTTTTTAGTCGATTTGGATATTTCGCATAGAATACCCCTTGGCAATGAATAAATTTTGAAATAAATAAAAATTCTGTAAAGTAAATACAAGCTTTTCTTTTAAAACTTCCATTTTAGAAAATGTACTAATAAAAATTTAATATTCGCCAGTTACAACGTATCCTGGTAAACAAACTGATAAAAATAAAACAAAATCTCATTTTTCTAATGTCTTGTATTACCGTATCAAAAGATCGAACAAATATGCCACTGTTGAGCATATTGTTTATCCATTCAACTCAATTAGGTTTCAAATTTAATTACTTTCTAAACACTGTCAAATAATGTATTTATGAAAATGAAGTACTTGAAATACAGTATTATACAGTACGATTTATATTCTCGTCATATCCGAAGTAAAACGAAAGTGATTTATAGGCTGCCTGAATATTTTAATATGTTTAACAGACTATTTATTAATCTAAACCGCTTTAGTTTAGATTAATAATTTTAATTTAGATCTATTTCATACATATTTCCAATTTTGTGAAATAAAACAAAAGTTATAATTTAAAGAAAATTAATATTTTATTTTACGATTAGGGATTTTTGTAAAAGCAATATCCTCTGTGTTTATCCATTACTGATAGCATTTTTGCATGCTATTGTTGATTATTTATAAGGCATTTTTTATAAAATATTACCTATGATACTTTTACTTTATAAAAATTAGTACTAATTAATTAGTAAAATTAACATCTTGTTAATTTGCCTATAAATTATATATATAGGCAACTTAACAAGATGTACTGGATATATCTAAGCACATATTTTTGTTACCGTTTAGGATTATTCGATTATTCAGAATTAATTGGAAGAGAAATCATCAAATTTCGATTCTCCACTGTAGAAAATATACAGTAGTCCGTTTTATAGCACAAATAAATAGTAGTAGTGGACTACTACTATTTATTTGCTTAGAGTTTTTTTCTCTACACAAAAATGAAATTTTTTCTAGCAATCAAAATATGCAAACAAATTTCATGATGAGAATTCTAAAGTGGAAAAAAATAACAGAATAAAATTGAAGGTTGATAGCTACATAAATATACAGTGGGTGATCGGTGAACGAACAAATCGGATAACGAACACTTTCGCGAAAGATTTTTATGATCGGACAACGAACACTTGACTGAACAAACACAAAAAGAAGAGACGTAAAATAACGAATACCGATTGGTCTTCCTTTGTCTTCAGGCAACAATTCAAAACTTTTCGGAGCGCGGGAGACGTCGACATCAACGTTCTACCCAGTATATACTGATAGGATAGTATTCTCCCGAACTTTGAAACTCTCCCTTGTAATTCCAGCTTTTTATATTTCTGACAGAAATAATTCTTTTACATTTTCTTATGAAAATGCGGATTTATGCCGATATCTGCTATTAAATATCTTTTAAAGAAGTGGGAGGACGTTGTTCTGACAGAACAATGGTCTTAAAATGGCATCCAAACCAGGTTGGGGTTAATAGGCCTAGGGTTCTCTACAATTACAATGCTATTAATTACTTCTGAAAAATCATAAAGAAGACAGAAAAGCAATCGACATTGGACAGATTCTTTAATTAATTAATTAACCCCCACAAACGGAAAAAACATGACTAATAAAAATGCAACACCGTGTATATATGTATTTTTATTATTACATATAAATAAACGTAATAAGAAAGTATAGTCTATATTTTTTTATTTTTTGGAGGTCTCCAGAACGAATTAATCAAATTCCCATAGAAACCTATGGTAAATCGATAATCGGTTAACGAACAAAGTCTTGGAACGGATTATGTTCGTTAACCGATCACCCACTTTATTACGAATTTGTATTAGACCTACACATTAAAGATTGCACAGTTGTCACGTTTTTGGGGATAAAATTATAAAATGTGAAAAAAAGATACCATCATTATAGGAAAAGCTTTTAGAATAAAATCTTTCTGTTGCTATACAGTACTCGGAAAAAAAATCCGGGACAATCCTAGGAAACAGGGACATCTGGTAACTCTAAAAGAATATCATCTGAATTATCCCAATTATATATAAGCTATAATATACATAGTTATATTAAGACAAAATTTTTAACTTTTAATTGTTAAATAAGAAAAAATAAGTGCTTTCCTAAGTTTGATAAGTTCGAATTTTAGTTCGTAAAAGTTCATAAAATATATTTTACATAACTGATCACATAATTACATAACTGATTACATCATTATAAAAGTGAAAACTAAAATACGCCTTTTTAGAAGCTATCTTTTATACTTTTATAAAAAGTAATATTAAAAAGTATTTTTTATTAAAACATCTGCTTATTTAGTTTACTTTATTTATGCTAGCAAAAAGTAAAAAGTAAATATAGATATTAGGCATAAATAATGTTTCAAATAGCATATATTCCTTGCATATTATTTTTTAAATTGGTTAGAGAAAATAAATAGGCTACTGTATTATAATTATCTTTCAATTTCCGTTATAACGGACATTGCATATTGTATACAGAATTATGTACTTTTCAAGTTTTATTTTTCTTCATAGATATATTATCCAAATACAACACACAAATTTAAATATTTATTTTTAGAAAATTAATAAAGTTTCGAGTGTTAACAATTGATTTAGTAATTTGAAATAAAGATGGCGAGTAACTCATTCAATGACGTCAATCAGTAATATTTTTATTATAAGTTGACGTCATTCTTTGGGGAAGCAAGCCGATATAATTTGTGTGTGGGAGCTGAAAATATATTTATGAAGTTTGCGCAAAAAATCAAACTAAAGAAATTTTACAAATAATTTTGAACATTATTTATTCGATATTTTAGCCGTATACTTTACTTAAGTTCCATTGTATAATACGAAGACTAATAATAAAATATGTTATTTATTGTCTCGTATCGTCATATCACTTTTTATCACAATGTTGACAGTTATTAAATGCATGCGTGTTATCCAGCTATTAAGTTTTAATTTATATGAAGGCTTTCAATGATATACTGCTTTCCGATTTTGGCTTATTCTGGCTAGAACGAAACGAGATTAACAAATTTTATGGCTTATATCTAGGTGTTGAGATAAAAATTACTTTTAATTGACTGAAATAAGCAATAATAAAAATGTTTTTAGTATTTTAAAACCGTGTATAGGCCTACTTAAAATAATATACTTGTTTATATCCAACTGCAATTATTACATTTAGCATTCGTAGATTTCGCTGGTATTTTAAAATTATATATATAGACATATTTAATTAAAAGTTAAAAGATTTAGAATTTTTATTAACTTTTTTATTAGCTGTATTAAAGCCGTTTTACCAGGCAACGCGCTTTTTATTTTCAATATAGTACGAATATATTCGAAAGAAAAATACTACATTTCTATATACAATACAAAAATTATGTAGCTAGAGAATATCTTAATACTTAAATTTTTATTTATTGTCTTAAAAACGAAATATACTGTTTCATTTATATATTTTATTTTTATTTTTTGAAATACGATATATTTTTACAAATAATATTTTAGTCTATGTAGCTTGAATATATTACTTATAATTAATAAGATCGTTTAAATTTTTTTTATTTTACAGGTTTTCCGATTGAAATTTTATTATGTTGTCCTTTTCTCTGAATTAAGTAAGATTTTATTATAATTATAGAAGAGTAATAAGTAAATTATAAAAAAAATCCAATGAGTTAAAATCAATTGTTTATTGCAGAACTAGAAAAATTCTTGTCATGCTATGATTACTGCTCAAGTTCAAACTAATTATGTCTTCCATCGAATTATTTCAAAACAGTATTCCTATACATTCAAATTCAAGAACATTTGCTTCTGTTACAAGTCCTTGGGAATCTGCTGGAGAGACTGCTTTAGCAATATTGGTCGTATTCATCTTGTCTCCCTTGATCATCTGCAGTAACGCACTCTTAGTGCTTGCCATCAACAGGTATAAAAGACTTCGAAACCCAAGCAACTATTTTCTCTTATCATTGTCTACTGCAGATTTAGGAATTGGACTAGCATTACCATTAGGACTGTATTTTGAATTTTCGCGTTCTAAAATAAACTGTGTATTTTTATGCTTATTCCCGTATTCGGTGTTAGTTGTTTTATGTGGAGTTTCGATTCTCAGTTTAACAGCTATTTCATTAGACCGTTATACTTCTTTAGCAACACCTCTTCGCTATAACAACATAATTACTCACCGGTCAGTCACCAAATACATTATATTCTTTTGGATTTATTCAATTTTATTGGGTTTAACACCATTAGTTTATTGGTTTTATTATCGAGGTGATGCCACAGATATTACCTGTTCCTTCGATTTAATACGGTATCAAGTAAGGCTTTTCTTGATATTTGCTCTATTTATACCATGTTCTACTGTAATGATAATTTGCTACTTGTACATTTATTTCGTGGCCCGTTCTCACGCCAGAGCCATATTTACAGTAGAAATATCGCTCCGTCAAGTGGCAAATTCCGAACCACGATATGGTCGAACTTTAGCATTGACTGTAGGTCTGTTTATAATTACTTGGTTGCCATTTCAAATTTGTGTCTTCATCGATGTCTTCCAAGATTCGCATTTGTTATCGGGAAGATTGGCTTTCTATTTTGGAATTTTACTTCTTGCCAACAGTGCTATCAATCCGTGTATATATGGCTTTCGTAATGCTGAATTCAAAGCAGCTTTTCTTAGGATCATCGAAAGTGTACTACCGAAGCTCAGTGGTGTAATACGCAGGCGTTACGAACAACGTAACAGTCTCCGAACTTTTACTAGATGCCAATCGCATGTTCGTTTATGTGCATCTCCTAATCAAATTATTAGCACAGACATGTTACGAGTATCATATCTCAGACCTATGGATACTATTGAACTGACTGCTGCCAGTAGTACTCCATATATTACTACACCCGGAGAAGCAGGGAATGGTGAAATTGGTATTGCAGTACTATGATGATAAATTATAATTCGTTCTAATTACATATATTGTAAAACTATTGTTTCATAAAAATTCCCGAATATAAAAAGTCAAAAGTAAAACTGTCGTAATGTAAATAGTCTGTTTTCATGATTAAATATATACGAATATCTTACAATATTAATTTATAAGAACTAAACAAACTATTTTCCTTTAACATAACTAGTATTAAGATGTAACTTTTGCAGAAATATAAAAAAAAACTTGGCACTAAAATATTACNCTGAATATTCAGCGAAACTTTGTCTTGTTATACCAAAAATTTATTGCATTAAAAATCGAAAGCTTCAATATTAAATTAAAGTATTTATTCTAAAAATATCATCCGAAAAGAATTGTAATATGATTTTGAAGATGTGATAGATTGAAAATTGAATTGCTTTATCTCTAGTTATATAAAATTAAATATAATGGTGTTGATAATGATAAGCATAAAAATAATTTCGTTAATTTTATTATGTTTTAAACTTGGTATAAAACATAAATAAAATATTTAAAATTAATTCAATAAATTTTAAAATTCAAAAGTAAATTTATCATTTTATATTTTAGAATTAAGAATAATATATCAAATTATTTAATTTATAAATAATAATTTTGAAATCTGTAATTAAAAAATATTCTTCATTTTATCACATTTTATGTTTAAAACTAATCTAATAACACGAACGAAGGCTGTGATATATTATGTTTTTCGAATTTGTCAAGCGTAAATAATGAGCTATTAAGTTTCATTAGTTGAAAAATTCACGGAATTCATTCGCATGAATAATAAAATTTTTCGAATAGTATTAAATGTAAAAAATAAAAAAAAATTGTGAATCTAAATATATAAAATATATTTTTAATAGAAAAATTTATTGTTATTCATGTTATTAAATGCGTGATTTTTATGATATTGTACAGAGATTGAGATTATTGTCGTGTATTTTATTTACTGTGTTGAATAAAAAAATTTTAAAAAAGATAAAAGAAAGAACTATAATAAATTTACATTTTAAACAATTTCCTTAAAAGCTTAAGAATAAGAATTAACCCTCCGAGTTTTATATCATCTTTTAAAGCAGAAAGTTAAATAGATATATTTAATTTAATAAATAATAAAAACATATTTATTTTCGTTTATATTAGTCATTTGGTGACAAAAATTTCAATTTAATAAATTGTAATTTTAATATTGAATTCTTAGCATTTAATATGACGTTCTCGGCAATAAATAGGTTACCTCGAGAATCTCTTTTCGCTTTTATAAGCGTTATTAAAAGATTTATGTTTAGTCATCCCGAAGAAAATTGCGATATTGCGCAACATAAACTGATATTGTATGGAAGAAAAAAGGAACGTTGAAAAACTTCGACTGCTTCTATAAAATTTTATTTTACCTCACTCTTTAATTAGTTATAATAATTTACTTACAATATAATTTTTATATCTTTTGACGTACTGTACTATATCTTTTATTATACAGATTTTATATTTTTTATGACTTATATAAAAACATTTTTAGAATTTTTTAAGCTTTTTCAAACGCAGGAACAGATGAATTACTTAAATTCTAAAATATAAAAGTTTTATTGCCTTAGATAAGGAATATATCAATACATTATAGGCAGACTGAATGCCTTCCACTAAATTACAATGAAGCACGTCACCTGATTTTGGTAAAATTATTTTTACATTAATTGGCCTACTCAAATAGAATTATGCTAATTTAAATTCATATAACGTATCTGAATTTCAGAGTTTCGTATTGTTGGAATTGCGCATGTTTAGTAATTACATTTTAGATATAAAATTGAGGATATTCAAAAACAATTTAACTTAATGCGAACTTAAGTAGTCCTTTAGATTGTTTTATTCATTAAAAAATGAATTATTCAGTTATCCTTAAAAAATAAATTATTTATCAACAAATATTATTCAAATTATTTATTTATTTAATATTTTGCGACTCATATTTCAAATGTCTTTTAAAACACTTCACAGTATTAGTACTTTCCAGCATAAGAAAAAATTTTATTTTGCTTTTATTAAAATTTAAATACATATATACATTATGTATATATGTATATATTAATAGAGCACATTTGTAAGCCGAAATAAAATGCTACAAGATATACAATATTTAAAATTTTATCCGTCACTTCATTAGATTTAAAATCATAAATATTACCTACTCCTATAGACATTTACTTCACATTTACTTCCTATTTATAATTCCTTTAACATATTCTATGTAAAAACTTGGTATTAGTTTGTTTAGTTCTATTTTATTTAATGTGAATGAAATCTACAAATGATTAAGAGAAAACATTTTTATTTTAAAAATTAAAAATATCATTTTAATCTTTAAAATATTCAACGTATTTTATAACTTTATATGCATTAATCTACTAATTCTTAAAAAACACCCTTTCATTTTATTAAGTTTTAAAATTTTTAAAAATTAATTACTCAACTAGAAAACGAGTAAAAATATCGTCTGAAAAAATAATACTGTAATAAATTATAATCGACGGATAATAAATTACTCAGATTTTAGTTGAAAACATCGATAAAAAGTGAAGTTTGTATTGCAGAATTACGTCTATCAAATATATTTTGCATGCAAAATTTATTTTAAAAATGTAACGTAATTGATCTAAATATTCATGCAATTGGATTTTTCTAGCTAAGAATAATTTTAAACAAGAAAACAATATATTATTTTTGAACAATTTAAATATTATATTTCGTCAGATGTATATAAATATTAAACATGTTCATATTTTTATCTCTAATTTAAACTATCGTGTTATATGAAGAATAATTTTAAATAAAGATTAATTATTGTCATAAAATGTTCAATGACAAGATGATGATTTTGTTATTTTCTGTATTAACAAATACTATATTTTATCATGTTTCTGAACACTTCAATCTATTGCTTTCCGGACAGATGCAATTGATATAATTTTATATGAAGAAGATTTTCATTAATTTTTAAAAATATTAACATTCAATTATTTTATTCAGAAAGTTGCCATATTTTCATACAATGGAGATTATAGCGAAGCAAAGAAGAAAAACTTGCCATTGCAAAAGACAGAATTGCTTTCTATTTTGTATATCAATACCATAATGTAACATGCATAATAGTATAGTTAATTTATTGTATTATACAAGTATAGTAGCCTATCCATGTAACTTATAGTCCTAATAGTATGGTAACCCTGAGTAACCAGTATATCTATCGACTCTGGTAATAGGTATTACTTGTGTTTATTATCATTCGTATTATCGTATTTAATTAATTACTATTTTTGTTCTTTGTAATCGATACCATTGTGTATTCAATAGTTCAACAAAATCAGTTAAATGCAATAAATGAACACGAATTTGACAAATATATTTAGAGTTAAATGAAAGATTTCTAATTGAGTGAATATAGTCCTTGACAAAAATGTTATGCATCAAGAAGAAGGCGTTGAAATCAAATGAAACTTCATTAGTGAGAACGTAATGACGATAGTAATAACTAGGGCCGGGATTTAGGCTATATGTTAGTTATCTGGTGTTACCAATTACAAACACATTATTATAAACAAATATGATCAAGAAAACGCTTTACTGGTTAACGTATATCATTCTTCAATCTATATATTTAAAAAAATAAAATAAAAGAAAATTATTAGTAAATTTTTATTTTGGAATCGGCGAGGCGGCGGCACGAGTTTACCTTGCACCTTGAGCTTTAATGCCATCTATCAAAAAGCATCTAAGTTACTGTGAATAGTAGAAGATTTTCTATCATGATCTGTCGTTCATATTACTCATTGCAGCACAAATTGCTTTTTTTCTGCTTTACTACAATTTGTTAAAAATTATTTCAAATTTCTTAAATTTGAGTTTTGTGTGGAAGTCTCTTAAACACTATAGATAGGAAGACTAGAGTCTTGAGACACTTTTTAAAAATGATTGTGCATTTTACAATTTTATTTTATGATTTATTTAACTGTAATAAACTAAACCACAACTTTATTAAATAATTAAGAAATCGAAAACTGAAAACTGCTCGTTTGAGGTTCTGAAAGAGGTCCGAACACTGCATTAAATTATGTTTAAAAGTTTTCCATTCAGGAAAGGAATTTCGTAAAATAAACACAACGCGAAAATAAAAAAAATTATTGAATGTAAGTCTCGGACGACCCGAGTTTAAGTGTCGGACCTGAAAGATGCCGTGTCGACATCGAAAGATGCAGTGTTAACATCGTGGCTCGACCTTTCCCGTGCCTCGATCGGGTCTAATTCTACCTGGATACAAAAATAAACTAATCCGGGAGGATAGAGGAAGATTCGGAACTAATTAAATTGTTCTGTCCGATGATAAATTCTATATAAACACGCATCTCAAGGCTACGGCGCGCTTCTCCGTCTGTTTTTCCCAAACCGCGTTTCGTCCATCCACTTTTTCTGTTAATTCACTCGCATCTATCAGTTAACTTTTGCACGACTTCATCGCTTAGACACTCAGAAGTCACCATCACACGCCTTCGAAAGAGCGTGGTGTCCGACAATCACCGGATTAAGTGACCCTTCGACCATCCCGTTTGCAACTAAATCCCGGGCCCGGCATCATCTGAACTCGCAGTGGACTTGAAAACTGTTGTCATAACTCCCAAGAACGACAATTTCTGTATCAAGAAACTGGAAAATTTGTAAAGGTTCTGAATCCATCGGCAGTTCGGCATCCACAAACGTGGTTTTTACCCGTACACCCTCCTTGGGTTCGGCTTCCTGGCCAACTCGGTATAGGGCTGCGACAATAAACGCCGTACACTCCCACACTCGTTTTCAAGTAAACAATGTCATGTATCAATGAAATAAGTTCTTATGTAACCGAAAACTACTTACATCACATCCAATTACCTGTACTCTATTTGTAAATTATTAAATGAAGGAAGGGGATATTTCCCTACATTTATATATAATAATACAGTTAAAGGATTCCTTAGATTTAATTTAATGTAAATAATAAAGGCATTGTCCAATAAGCATTAAATAATATATTACCAGTCGACCC